ACCTCCTGACCCCTCCCTCCTCATCCTAACTCTTAAACTCGGTTTCTTAAACCTAACCCCACATACAACCCTCCTCTGTCTTGAGTTTAATTCTTGGATGACCTCCTCATCCTAATTCTTCAATATTCCATTCTTTTCCTAACCTTAATCTAATCTTAACTTTGAACCGAAAACTGTTTATCCTTTTTTTTCCTAAAAAACTGACCAATCTGAATTTGAACACCAACATAACAAATCACCACTAGCTTAATCTGGGCCCGCTCAGAGAAAGCAACCTGCACCCACCGGAATATGTTGGACATATTCTATGCAGCACACACAGTACATACAAAACAATTAGGTGTTGTCCTGGACACACCGATAACACCATACACCAATTAAAAGATAGTCCCTGTTGCTGAAGATGGTGTTTGACATCGAGCGAGAGTGCCTACCCTTTGAGGTACCTAAAGGGCAGTGATCCAGTTCTGGGGAGCCCACCACCTCTAAGAGCGAATATACAAACCCTAAATAATTTCCAGCTCAACCAGTTGCCTTCAGAAGTTGCAAATGTAGCAAAGAGACATTTGCAACTTGCAAAGGCAACTGTATAGAAGTTGCCTTCTAAACACTAATTTAATCTCAGCATAATTTCACTTCAGATTTTTGTCAGGGAACATTTGTCAACAAATTGGTCATTAATGAAAAGAACAGAGAGGTAATTTGTAAATTTCTGCAGCGTTGGCTTATAAATCAACATCCAAAGCCTTAAATATCTCTCTGCTCAGTCAATCTAGCTGAAAATGGAAAGAGTTGGTCTTAATTGTAGGTCTACCAAGAGCATTAGCAACGCAAATATGTGGAAGAAACTGGGTGGTCAGAGGACACTAAAACTAAATGTTTTATGTGTAAATATCACGTGAGGAAGAAAATTTCCTCAACAGGAAAAAATGGTGGTGGCAGCATTATGTTCATTCTCACTGATTGTCTTCATGCAATCTCAAAAATCTTGAGCTGCTTTGATTTCCTGTTTTGACAGATTTGCAGAGTGTGCAAACCTTTGGAGTCATTCACCATCAGCTACATTCACCTGCAAACCAATTTCTAATTTCTGCTTTTATAAAACAAATAGATAGAGAGTACTTTGTCCCAATAAAAAACACAGAAGTTTGAGGTTGTAATGTGACAAAATGTGATACAGTTCAAAGAGCATGAATACTTTGCAAAGCTCTATTAAATATTAACCATCAAAGCCGCTGCGTCTCCAAGCTAATTTTGTAATGAAAACATTCCAACTCAGGATATTTACGTTCTAAAATTTCACATATTTTCCTCCTTAAATCGGTTCCATTCATCTCCAACATTTATCCATCTATCCACCTTCTAGTTTTTCCTGCGTTACAGGAACTATTCTAAAAAGAAAGAGCTTCTTTTCATTCTCGTGTTGGACATCTTTGTTTGAAATATTGCCCAAATAGCTTTTTGATAGAGCAACATTCAGGTGCAGCCCACTCAGCCACAATTCAGAAAAACGATCCTGCGTCTCCCTCTGAGGACAATCTTCATTTATCAAAACAGACGACGAAAGAGTGAAAGAGATCAGAGCGCAAACTGGCACACAAAGATATTCCCTTTTGGTCATGGCGTCAAAAAAGATCCAAAAATATACATGTGCAAAAAAACCCAAGATTTATTCCCACCTCCACCTGCAATTAACATATACAGAGAGCCGTTTCGCCCAGAGAAATCTATTTATGTTGCCATAGAGCTGCTCTATTTAATGTGAGCCACTTCATCTCGTTGCCAACATCCAGCAAATCCTCAGTGGTATTTTCTCCAGCAGTAAAGCAGCAGCCCTTCGCGAAGCTGAGCAGCTTGTTTTATTAGCACCTGGATGCTGTTACAAACACAGGAGATCACAGAAAAACCACTCCACCTTTCAATATATATGTATTTTTTACTTTTTACTGTTGCTTCAAATGTTATGTGAACTGTTAAAGCATAGAGTTGTCCATTTTTAGAATTACACTGTAAAACATTTGAAGGTGGTTTAAGTTGAAAATGAAAGTCCACCTGCTGCCTTGAAAATGTTATTTAAGTCACAAGAAAATTGTTTTGGTTTAAACTCAGAAATTAAAGTTCATGAAGTTTATTTAACAACAAGAGACAAGTTGTCTAAACTGTTTTTTAACTTTATTAATCTTGAATTGTGAGTTTTAACTTAATGTTGCAATTTAAACCAAATAATTATTTCACAATATGCAAGAAAAAAAATCTGCCCTCACCTGGTTAAAGAGCCACATTTCTCTATTATTTTACTCACAACATCAAGTTAAAATAAATACTTATTTTACTTTAGAATAATTTAAATTCTTGTTTGAACTAAATTTCTGATCTGATGATGAATTTTATTAAACATCTCAATGAATTCAGCTCAGAAACATTTAGTGTGATCAGGACATTATCCTCAAGCTTTGCTGACTGAGAATTGCATTAAAATGAACATTTGCCTTAATAAAACACCAGAGTCAGATCAACGTAACGCACTTCCATCTCAGGAGACAGAAACATGCCGCTAAGCATTCTGGGAAATAGTTCCCACTCCTGTCTCTCTCTTCTTCCAGTTTTTTAAGTGCAAACCTAAAAACTCAGTTTATTCAACTCTTGGAGGTTTGACTAAATTAATAAGAAGTTAACACAACTTACTGCTGTAAGTTTATCTTTCACAAACTCACATTTAGGTTCAAAATCTAAAACTGGATAAATTTATTTGACTTACAGAGTTGAAGACAGTAGACACAACTAAATGCAGCTCAACTGTTTTACAGTGTAAGAAGTTGCTAGGCTGTTTTTTTTTTTCTCACCTTGTAAAACTGTCAAGACCTCCTTTACTAAAGATCCTTGGGTCAATCTGGATGGTTTGTGAGATAATTAATATGGGAAAAGTATCGTCATGTTCAGTTAACCTACACAGTCTCTCCTACACACGTTTCATCCAAACATGAGGAGGTAAATACCGTATGCTGTGATTTACTGCATGGTGGACAGGAGAAGTGGCTTTGCCTTTCATCTTCTGTTTATTCATCACTTTAGAGTTTCTAGTCAACCAGTGCCAGACATCTCTGTTACAGGTCCACACTAAAACCTCGCCAAACAAAAACAACAAAGCAAAAATCTCTATTACATTTCTTCGCCTTTACACAATTGAAGAAGAAATAACTTGCATTTATATGGTTTAAATATAACACATTAATCAAAGATGAATAAGCACCATGTCTCACAGTGGAGTGGTGTTTTCTGGATGATAAGCAGAGCTGCTTTCCTCTCATGGTTTGTTTAAATCTGGACCCAAGAGCAGCAGGCAAGAGACGTAGTTGAGTTGTGAATATTTAATGAAAAAACAAAGAATCAAATTTACAAGAATGTGAAAGTCCAAGGAAACAAAAATAAAATCCAAAACAAAGTCAAACTTTAGATGCAGGTATGTCACAATAACACCAGGGATAAATGAGGAAAGTGACGAGGCGAACCGGCAAGTAGTGACTGACAATGAGGAGCTTAAATACTGTGAGGTTGATGGTAGGAACAGTAAACCTGGGCTGATGAGCAAACTGATTGCAGGTGTGAGGATGGAGTGAATCAGAATGAGGAGGAGAAAGAAAAAATGACAGGGAGGAGAGGAGAGTAACACTGGGGATGCAAACACTAAGGAATAATCAGACCAAACAAATCTAATAAAACCAGAAACAAGAAATAAACATAACTACACTAAGGAAGAACAGAAGTAGAAAACAAGGCAGAACTAAACAGAAGAAACTAAGGAACAACAAAAATGACAAAAATAAAAAATGTAGAGCCATGAGAATGTGGCCCTACATTCTGGTTCAGGTTCTGTTCTGCATCCCCAGAACCAGAACTAAATATGGAGAAGCAGCATTCAGTTTTTGTTAACCCCAAATCTGGAATAAATTTCCAGAAAACTGTAAAACAGCTCCTCTAAATCTACATTAAAAACCCACCTATTTGCTTTTGAAACATAATCACTTAAAAATTAATCAACAATCTGAAGTGTAACGAAGCCAAAATGTAATGTTTCAATTGTTGAATGTTTGTTCTATGACTTTGCCTTTTTGTGTTTTTATGATGTAAAGCACTTTGAAATGTCTTGATACTGAAAGGTGATATACAAACCAGATTTGATTGATCGATTTGATACATTCTGACACAGTAGGGGCATAGAGTGACTTTTTATGACAAACTGCTTAGTGTTACTGTATATAGCACTGTGACATCACAGCCAGGAAGTCCTGAGTTTGAGCTGAGTCTTGCTGTGGTTGCATGGGTACTTCATCTTCAGCTTACATGAGATTCTTCATACCCACAGCAGTCAGCACCTGCAACTAATTACAAAAACCTTTATGATACAAGTTGCAACTATTATTAACCCTTTCATGCATAGTGGTCTCTACAGGGAACAGCTATCTAAAAGCCATTTTCTTGTGCTTCTCGTTGATTTTTATGTTATAAATGCACACAGACCACTGAAGTGGACACTAATGCATCTCAAAATACACTATCAACTACTGGCCATCAGGTATAAATGCAAGAAATGATTTTTTTGTTAAATCCAATATGGCCGACAGACAACAAAGCATGCCAACCGACCTGGTCCCTCCTTCTACTGTAGACAACTCTTGCAAAAAAAATATTGTGACATCAGATAACCCCTAAAGAACAATACTACTGATGTATTTTTCAAATAACAACTTTGTATTTGGAGAAAATTACAATTGATCACCTAAAAAAAAAAAAAATAATTTTCCTACCTTTTCTTTATGCCTTGAGAAAAAAAAGAAAAGAATCCTGACAAAAAGGCTCATAATTCACGCATGAAAGGCTAAATTTCTTTTTTTCTGATCTGATTTGTGTTTACACTTTTTTTCTGTGCGCACTTGTTTTTGTTTTACGGTAGGAGCAGGCGCGTTTGTTCCCGCTCACTTCTGTGTTGTATTACGGCAGTGTGTTGTTCGCTGCCTCTGACTGAAAGCACGGAGCGCCTCCACGAGCTTCCCCACAAACCGCCCACCACACTCCGGGTGAACACGGCTAACGTTCCCGTCGACCAAACTCCGGATCCCGCCTCGCTCCCCGCCGTAAGTTGCTCTTTTTCACACTCCGTTTGTTTTCGCCGTGTTTATCGCTCTCTTTACGTCAAACCACACTTTTAATTTGTGATGCTTCGCGCTTTGTTTCGTGTCCGTCCACATCTTTGTGGTTAAATATTAAACTGCGCCCTTTAAAATGTAACTAATACTGGATGTTTATGGCTGGAAAGTCGTTTAAAGGTGGTTTTATTTTCATCAGGTGCTCAGAGTTGTTTGTTTTTGCTCATTTTTTTTTTTTGAATGGAAAGTATCAGAGTAACACAGCTGGGTGATGGAACTTAACTGAGAGTAGTGAGGCTGCGTTTGATTTTTCTGAATATCAGCAACAGATTATCGATAATTACCAACACACACAACACGGACCATGTTCTCCACGGTGCTATTTTTATAGCTTTGCTCTGAATAAACGCCTGAGCCGCCTCAACACCCCACTCCACCCAACAAGTGTGAAGTTATAATGGAGCCAAGATAAAAATGTTACCCGGGGTACTCATCATTTTCATGCCCAATTAAAGTCTTTCCTGTTGCTTATTTCATCTCTTCTGCTTCATTTATAAATGTGTGGCTTAAAATATTAAAATAACCAAGCTGGCTAGTGCAGTAAAAACTAAAAATAATTCCAAATACTAGCTACTTTTTTATCTGATTCATGGTAGCCAAAAAGCTGCATTTAAAACAAAATTGTGACCACACCACCAGCAGCTCTGCTTAGCTTTGCTGCTGCGGTGTTTATGTTAAAATGACATGATCTGTGTATGTTTCTGCCACTTCCCCTCCCTAAACTTTGCTTAAGATGACCCTTAAATAAAACACACAGGACCATACATTGAGTCCAGGTTTGGGAGTGGTAATTCAGGCTGTTTTGTGAGTGTGCAACAGTTTTCCTCTCCAACCTTTGGTGTGTCAAGGCTTGTTCGTTCATGTTGTCAGGGAAGACTTCAGATCTGTTTATCATGGGCTGATCTTTTTAGGCGTTTTCTTCCTGACGTTTTTTGTTGCTAAGGTAATTTTATTTACATGGCGCATTTTCAGCAACAAGGCAGTTCAATGAGCTTCACATGAATTAGAAAGAAATACAAATAAAACCAGAAGAAAGACAAAGCGGTAAATTATAAAACCACATATTGGTTCCCAATGTTTAATAACAATAAGAAGTCCATCATTTATAAGCTAGTAGGCAAGGTTTCCCCAGAAAACTTGCTAAGCCCGGTGGTTGGGTGCTAGTTCTGTCATTCATCCAGCGCCTCGTTGTTTTTTTTGAGTTAAAAAATGTTTAAAGTTGGCAGGAAATTTGGAAATATCACTTAATAATTATGTGTAATTGGAAGATTAATACCTGAACACCAACTATAAAGTTTTAAAAAATGCAGACATTTTAAAAAAGACTTTAATAAATAAGTAAAGCTTAGCCTGGTGGGGGCACAAGTAAAGCCTGGTGGCCCGCCAGGCTTATATTACACTGGGGTAAATCCTGAACAGGAGTTTCTTAAGTTTGCCCTGGAGTAGTTAGGTATAAGTATTGGTTCCCCATGTTTAATAAGAATAAGTAGTCTGTAATTTATGAACTAATAAAGGTTTCTCTGGATCTTAAGTTTGCTCTGCATTAGTGAGGTATAAAACTAAATATTGGTGAAGTATAAAACTAGATGTTGTTCTGGGTTGAGTTCTAGTGTTGTATAAAGCTAAATGTTGATTCTCCATGTTTGATTCTTGTTCTGAGATGTTAAGTAATAAACTAACAGTTTCTCCAGGTCTTGCTATCATATTAAAAGTATAAATCTAATCGCATTAGAAAACCTTAACTGAAAAAAGAATGTGAATTTCCTTTTTGAGCAACACTACAGTTATAATAAATATAAATTTTTAATGAAAGATTTCACATGAACTCTTTAGTTTGTTTTTTAACGCTATACTTCAGTGCACTGAATGTTCTTTCCACTAATGTTGGAGGTTATTTATGAGGACTAATAGACAAAAACAACTAGAATTAACACAAAGTTTCATGTGCATTTTGTTAGCTCTTGTAAACATGATGCTGAAGAGATTTCTAAACGAGCTAATTTTAATTTCATCAAGTTCTTGGACATCCTCAAAGAGCCAGTTGTAGCAAAATGTATTCATAAAGCTACCTATTAATAAGCTGTTAAAGTATTGTAGCCATGGGAGAAATATTATTTATTTCTTCTCCCGGGTCTTGGTGGTATAGATCGTTCTGCAGATGCAAGGGGCTCCCCGGTTCCACTCAGTCCATTGTCAGCCCTCTGGAGATCGCTCTTGATGGCTGTGGCAGAGGGTGTGATTGCTTCACAGCTCCCAACAGGATATGGAGTTGGTACTTTAAAGCAAAATAAAATCTCACAAAAAAACGAAACTCTGCTGCATGAATTGGACCCAAAATATCTGGAAACCTACGTTGTGCATGTCAGCCTATTATTAGTTTATATATTTTACATTGCCTTTTATACTCCTAAATTCACTGACTGGTCAAATTGTATTTGTTTTGTTTCTACTTATTTGACCAAACTTGTGAAACTATTGGTGTATGTGAGTGTGCTTTACTGGTGCAGAGTTATCAAATACATTTGTTATTCAGTTCATTTATGTCTGTTTTTTTTAAAAAAGGAAATATTTTAAGGCCATGTTTAAGGCTGTTTTTCTCTATCGGATTGGTATCGACCAATACTAAGCCTCAGATATCGGTATTGGTATCGGAAGTGAAAAAAGTGGATCGGTTCGTCCACTAGCGGAACAAGTCAGCGTCGGGCTGGGGGGCGGGGCCAATTACCGGGTCCCTAACCAATCACCGGGCCCCTAAGGAATCACTGGGCCCCGAAGGAAGTGGAGTGAAACTGAAACTGTTGAGTGGGGGGGCACTTAACATTAAATACACCCTTCTCAACAGGCGAGGGCGCACTTTCTCTGTCTATAATCACATATTTCAATGACTTGAAACCATTCCTCCCTCCCTGGCACCTCCAGGTCCGGCCCCCATCCGGCCCGGTTTGGGGGGCAGCAGCCCCCCTAGCCCCACCCTATCGCTCCGCGCCTGGGTTCATCCCTAAAAAAAAACACACAAACAAAAAACTTAAGTCTATTTCATAGAAAATGAGCTATGTGAGATAAATATTGAAGCAAATTATGTTTTAAATAAGAAGAATGTTGCAGTTCTGTCAACCAATTCACATTTTTACATATTTTTCTTGTTCTTCATTTCATAAATCGTGCGTTATTCTCAAGGCGGCAGTGACACTTTGTTCCTCCAGTGAAGAAGCAGAATAAGATCCAGGTTGTGTGGGCGGGCCGAGGTTTCTAATTGGATGAAGCAGTGAAGCTTCCATCTCTGTTCTCCCTGCTAATAGCAACAAAGTTCAGATGTTTGTTGAGACGTCGGATAGTCGTCGTAGAGCGAGCTGCATATTGCTGTCTGTTCATGTCACTGTGGTCGTGTTGCTGTAGCTTGCAGACATTTCTCTGGCTTGGGATTTTCAAAGGCTGCTCTGTCCTTTTAACCATTTTAACCACCACACCGTTTTATGTTTACACTGCTCACATAGTGGCGAACGGCAACAATAAGAGGTTGTATAAAGGTACACAGCAAAACACAAAATCTCACCAAGTACTTTTGATCTAGTTTCTGGTGGAAATATCTTAGTAAACTTGAAATAAGACAAACCAACTTACAAGTAACTTTTTAGCAAGATATAAAGGCTGGTTTTAGGGAACTAATCCCTTAATATTGATGAAAAAGTACTAGCTCCTTTGGCAGAAACTTATGTCACTATCAACGGACACTTTGCCGTTTCCTAGCAACCCCAGCCACGCCCAGGACGTTGCCTAGCAACCCAGTTCTAGTTCCACTGGGAGATTATTTCACTTGTAACAAAACATTTTTCCCTTCTTATAAGTTAATTTATCTGCCAAGGGAGCAAGGACTTTTCCATAAATATTAAACCTCTATTTCAGGGAAGTCAAACTCATTTTAATTTTGAGTCGTATCAAAAATCTGAATATTCTTAAAGAGCCGGTTGTGCCAGGATGTATTGATGAAATCCATTAAATTGGTAAAATATCAATAAATAGTAGCTTGTTTCAGCATTCAATATGTGTTTCTTAAATCTTTTCACACTGATCAGTCCATCAGGTTTTTGATTTTTTTTTCCCCCAAATCAAAATCACAGATTTTGTGATGCTAATTTAGAAATATTTATAAATTTTTTTTTTTTACAATATTTGCTCTAATGTATGATGTTAAATGTGACTTTTTTCAATCTGTGACCGATTTTATCAATCGGTCACAGATATAACTTGACATCAAGCAGTCACTTAAACACAAAGTTTTTGGCCAATTTTGAGAAAAGAAAATGGGGGGATCTGTTGATTTTTGTGTGAATTTTACGGATTTGTGAAAAACTGGAGGGACTTATTGATCTAATTTGGAGTCTTGAGGGCCACAAAAAAGTATATGGCGGCCCAGATTTGGCCCCCGGGCCTTGAGTTTGACATATGCTCCATTTCTTGCTGAAAAGTTACTTTTAATTTATTTTGTCTAATTTCAAGTTTACTTGTATATTTGCACTAGAATTTTGATCAAAAGTACTTGATTTAGTGTTTTTGCAGTGCATCAGGCTGGACTTGGTGGTGACATTTTTCGGCTTTTTTTCTCTCCTGGTTCGGCTTATTAAATTCACATTTTGTCACCTTCAGAAACCCTGTGAAGGACCTCCCAGCTTTTATCCCAAGTTTCCCGCTAATGGCGCTAACAAGCTTAGGAGTGCCAGACAAATGGAAATGTATCATGACCCCACATTTGCTGCACAAAGTACTGCATGTGGGCATTGCAGCACACGGGATTGAGGGTTAGGCCTCTTGAGCCGGGCAGCGAGGCAGAAGTACCCCTCTGAGAGTTACAGTAAGCCGTATAAATGGAGATGCGTCTCTGTTTGGGTTTGATGCAGCCTGCAGGACTGAACTCGGGGGGTCCTTCACAC